AAGAAAAAACCCTGCTTAGAAAGTGATCCAGAGACTAAAGCGCACATTAATGCCATAAAAACCAAAGTGCCAGATCCAGGTGTTTGGGTGTAAATAACTCCCAAGACGTATATCACTTTTTCTCAGTATGCTGGTAGCTTCTGCAGATTGTTTTTTCAGAGTATCAAGTAGATGGCAAGGATGAGTCTTGCAGACTTAAGTGTCACCTAGAAAAATCTAGGCCAAGAAAGATGTTTATTTTAAATCTTTTGGGAAAAGGATGAAATCTATTTTGAAACAAATGGGAGAAAGAGGACCTCATAGAAGAGAATTTTACAACAAAACAAGTGAGTTTTAAATGTGTCTTTACTTTCCTTTGGCATAAAATCAATGACACATAGTCAGATACACACTCATGTACCTGCCTCCTGTGCTGCTTCAGCTTAGAGCATGACCGGTGACCTCACCAGACAGGAGGGAGGACAGGCCTGGGATGGCACCGTTAAATGGAGAGGTGTATAAATTATTGCCAACTCCTCTGCAGTTAAGTATGCACAAACACAATAGAACATTTTCTCATTTCTGAGAGCATGCATGCAAAAGCAGGTGCATGCATGTGTAAATTGTGTTATACTAATACCAGTTGACTGTATTTTTTCCTGGGAAATTTTGGTTTGCAGAATATAGTATCATGGGCAAGATTTTCAGATGTCTGAGACTTTACTATTTGTTTCCCTCTAAAGATTATATTTGTAGAGTATACTGGATATGCTAGGCACTGTGCAATCTTTATTTGATTCTCTCAAAAACTTCATAAACAGTATTTTATTACTACTGTTTTTTAGATAATGAAACTGAAGTAAGGAGGAGACTCAGGATCCCAGAGCTAACCAATGTAGTTGAGACTCAAACTCAAAAGTTCTGCTCATAACCACTGCTCTACAATGCCTACAGAAGACAAAATTATAAATTTTATTTAATTCCTATAATTGCCTACTCTTGGAAAAAAAACTTTCTCTAGTGGCTTCACACATAACAGCAATTGACTAAGACCCTCATTCTTCGAACCAGATTTCAGAGCCTTTGGTGAGGTGGTTAATATGCCCCTTAATGTGTCTGCTTTACCCTCATAGCTGATGACCAATTCTTCTGAAGGTGTTACATGGAGTGGGGTTCAAATCCTGCCTCTACCACTTACAGGTTGTCATTTCTTGGCCAAGTCATTTATCTTCTCCAAGCTTCAGCTTGCTCATTTGTAAAATGATAATGATGATAATTTCACCCTCATAGTGCTACATGGAAGATTAAATGAAAGAAAACATACATAGGTTGAGCACAAGACCTGAAGTGTCCTAGGTGCTCAATTAAGTACTCAGAAAGTGGAAAGTGAAAAAGAAAGCATTGCCAGCCTCATGAGAAGACTTATAAAAAAGGTTAACTTGAAAAACACCTGCTACAGTTAATGTGAACAGAAATATACACATAACATAGCTTCAGTTGTACATGTGGCTTACCAATGGAGACCACATGGATAATTTTCGCCCATGGACTAAATCCAAGGCAAACCACTGGATAACTTATGCATATCTTGAGATTTCCCACAAATACCATGAAAGGCAGCATAGCTACTTAGCAGCATACTTAATCCCAGTCCAAATGGCTCAAGTCTTGTAGATTCTCCCTTCTCCCTAAATTCCCTTTCCACCCACACTTCTCTCTACAGTTGCTGAAGTGTACTTGGCATTGTGGCTTAAATCTTGGCCAAAGTTAGGCTAATCTCTAGGGGTGCTTCCTTGGAAATTCAGCTGGATTTCTCATTCTTTCCAAGTCTTGTTCATGATAAAGTGAGTCAGTCCTTCCTCCTCTGCCATTCTTAGGAAATTTTTACCTAAGCTTAAAGACAGAAATTTGGCTTGGTGATATTTCCAGAAAATATATGCATTGCTATGAACTATGAGTATATTTTATCCACACTCTGCGAAATTTTCTTGAAGGAAATGTTTTAGAAGGCCCAACCTTTCTAAATAAGATGAATTTAGAATCAAAGTTAAATAATCACACCTTACAGTTTAATTAAATTTTAGAGTTTTCAAGGCATAATCATCTACATTTAGCTTCTGTGAATCTTATGCTAATCCTGTAAGTAGGTAAAAAAATCTCTATTTTTGGAGATTTTTGTAGATAAAATACACCTCATTAGAAAATAGTTCTGTTGGGTACTTTGAGAAAGGATTGAGATTTTGCTCATTTATAAAGATAAAACTGGAAAAAAGGGTAACATTTCTGATATGCGTACCTGAAAAAATATTTCACTAACATGGTAAATCAACCTTTCATCTTCTACCAGAATACTTATGAAATATTCTTCCTTGTGTTTTAACTAAATGTGTTGATCTGCTCATCCTCTTTAAAGACGCCAAAATGCTATCGTTGGAAAACAGAGGTCCTAGTGGCAGAACAGGTAATAATTAGTTAACTCCAGAACTGTAAACTGCAAAATGACAGAAATGTCCATTTAAATAATCTTCACAGTTCCTAACATACTATAGCCAAAAAGTCTAGAATTGTTTTTTGTGGTGATGTTTTAGGCCTAAAGTATATTATATAGCATCCACAGCAAAGAAGAATATAAAATATATTCTTTTGTCTGCACTTTCAGTTTCATATTTAGTAATTTAATCAGAAACCTCTATCTTTATCAAAAATTCTAAGAAGAATTTAAAACTAGGTTTCTGGTGTAGAATTGGAGGCCTATTCATTTCAAACATACTTATGAAATTCAAATCCTGTTCAGTTACGACAAATGTATTGATAAAAGAAAAATCTGCTAGATAAATGACCAGTTCTTAGCCCCTCATGAGAAGGAAGAGAACATAGGAACATCCCAAACAATATGGTCAGTTATTATCTATTTGAAATTACCAAGATGGGGTAATAGAGACTGGATTTACCTCCCAACCGAAATACCCAGAAGTGGGAACACACACACACACACACAAACACACACACACGCAAGCACGCATGCACGCAAGCACAAAGCAACAGGAAATGAAAGACATTGATCCTGTAGATACAGGAAACAAATGAGGTGAATTTATGTTACACCAGCTTACTGCCATGAGGAAGTTTTCCTGCCGTGGTGCAGGAAGGGAGAATTCAGGTGGGGCCCAATATAGTCCTTATAGTGAAGAGATAGAGCTGAGTGTCCAGGGAGACCAAGACAGTAAGAGTTCACAGGACAGAATACCAGAGAGAAGAGGGATGCACAAAGAGTGAGCCCTGGAGATCTGCAAAGGGTCCTCCTTAATTATTGAGCAGAGTACTGATAACATACCTGTGAGGAGATGATCTGAGCCTGGAGGAATAATCTTCTGAAAGGATTAGAGAATAATGCCAATGACTCACACAGGGCCAGAATAGTGCCTTTTCTCACCAGGAAGACTGGAAAAGCTCATGATTCATAGATTACTGGGGAGAGAACGCAGGAAGGTCTTACCTCAGTAATGGGGAATAATTAGCCTTAAATTAAGCACAGCTCCAGACTTGCCTAACAAATGATAAAAGCAAGACCCAAAAAGATAAAATCGTTTCCATGTAACTTGACTGCCTCCCCAAACAAAGTGCATGAATATTTATAGAAATTCAAAAGTATCCCATATCTGAAAATGAAAATTTCACAATGTCTGGCTTAAGAAGCAGAAAGACATAATCCATAATTTAGAGCGTAAGCACTCAAAACTAAACCAGAACAGACTCAAATGTTAAAATTAGCAGACAAATATATTAACACAGTTTTTATAATTGTATTTCATATGTTAAAAAATAGAGACATAGAAAATAAAGATTCAATAGAATTTGTAGAGATGAAAACTGCAGTGTCTAGAATGAACAATAAATACATTGGATGGGTTCAATGATAAATTAGATTTGATAAAAGAAAGAATTGTGAGGATTTTATTATGAGGATTAAATAAAGTAATAAATGTGAAGCATTAATAATGGGTTGAACACAAAAAGGGACTAATAAATTTTGCCAGTTAGAAATCTACTTCTTCCTTGATTAGGTTCACAAACATACTTCTTTCATGAAAAAAAGAACATTGGCCACCTGCTTCTTGTCTTTCTGAGCTGGTATTTCCTGTTGTGGCCTTACCAACCAGCCATCATCCCCATGATTGTGGACATGGTTTCATGATCCCTTAGCTTTAGAGCAGTGCTACTTGAAGTGCTGATCTATAACAAGATAGAAAGTTAGCATCAGAATCTAAATCAAAGCACTGTTCCTTTCATTGAGAAAGTCTTGCTGCACAAAAAAATGAAGTTAGCTGAACTAATCAATGTGTTTTGTAATATAGTCAACTTATATCATGGTGCAAGCTTCTTATCTTGCTGTGGGTCGATAAACTGGTTGTAGCTTGGCACTTTGAATACCAAAGTCTTTGAGTATATTATGGCTTGCACAGAGTTTGGATTCTAAAGTCAGCATTTATAATGATTATAGAATTCTAAAGTCAGCATTTGTATAACTTTCATGACATCACACTATGGTGCATTTTTTGAATATGTGTATGAAGGTATATATGTTTGTGACATCAATAAATGTGACTTTGACATATCTACTTTTCTCTTGGAATCATTACATATAACTAGATCTCATGCAAATGTATACTCTGAATTTTGTAACCACATGGAGTACACTAAAAATATCTGTATGTTTCTTATCTTGCATATGCAAATAGCTGGAGGATCAATCAGTCCTTTGACAAAGTCTGAGTTGAGGTAGCAAATAAATTTTTTTTCATGTGACAACCGCTGTTGAATGGTAATAGCTCTCCATGTACTGTGTGGAGACATAATTGGAGAATGAATCTGGGAACGAGTGCTATAATTGGTTAGTGATGTCTACCATGGGTGTGGGAGTGAAGCATGGCAACACCTATGCTGTGTATTTGTGGTCCTTGGCTAGGAGTTCTGAGTTTATCCTTCTACTAAAACGAGTAACTTGAATTATTCTGTTACAGGATATGAAAACCATGGCAGAGAAGAACCAGGTCTCAATGATGAACCTGGAGATGTCTCTCTTCATGAATATTTCATGGATGTGGCTTTCCTCATTGATGCTTCCCAAAGAGTAGGAAATGATGAATTTCAGGAAGTGAAAGCTTTTATAACCTCAGTGCTTGATTACTTTCATATTGCCCCAAATCCACTGACCTCCACTTTAGGAGATAGAGTGGCCGTCCTGAGCTACTCTCCTCCAGGCTATGTGCCCAATGGTGAAGAATGCCCTGTCTCCCTGGAATTTGATTTGATTACTTATGACAGTATATATCAAATGAAACATCATCTCCGGGACTCTCTTCAACAGCTTAATGGAGATGTTTTTACTGGCCATGCTCTGCAGTGGACAATTGACAATGTCTTTGCAGGAACCCCCAACCTGAGGAAAAACAAAGTTATCTTTGTTATATCTGCTGGAGAAACCAACCCATTAGACAAGGAAGTCTTAAGAAATGTATCTCTGAGAGCCAAGTGTCAGGGCTACTCCATATTTGTGTTTTCCTTTGGTCCTATACACAGTGACAAGGAATTAGAAGAATTAGCCAGCCACCCACTGGATCATCACTTAGTCCAGCTTGGCCGAACCCACAAGCCAGATCTGAATTATATCATCAAGTTTGTGAAGCCATTTGTCCATTTGATCAGGAGTAAGTCATTAAACCTTTTCTCTTCTATTGTTTTTGCAATAAATAGATTTAATGTCTCTGTATACAATCCACCAATTGACTTAGTAACACGATCCTCACTTCAATCAAGAGTGGTGGAGTTTAAGACGTGAGTAAGAGGCAGTGAGAAAACCACAGAGAAAAATCTCAGGTCTTATTAGCCTTGAACTTTACTGCTGTATTGTTAAAGTTTTTGCCAGAAAACTCCCAATATGGGTAAAGGTGTCTTTTAACCCTAACCTGTGTGTGTTTGCTATGTACTAAGTTCTTTCAATGGATTGTATCCTTAGTACAGCCCTCAAAGGAAAGTATTAGTATCCTCATTTTACAAGTGAGAAAACAGGTTTAGAGACATTAAATAAATTTTTCAAAAGCTCACAGTTAAGAGTTGGCAATTTCTAGACTTGACTCCTTGCATTCTGACCCCAGAGCTCTGCTCTTGTTCATTAAACTAAACTTCAATTTCCAAACTCTTAACAAGGTATGCTCCTATAATAAATAATATCGCAGTACCACCACCTTCCATTTACTCCAAGGACTTGTATTTTATCTTGCCATTATAAATTACCTCTGGTTATGAATTGAATTCTTATGAGCCATGGGCACAAATCTCTTGTAGAGCCTGTCTCAGACAGCTGGCTTGGGCACAGCCAGGTAGGAGAGTTAAGGGTATCTTTTTACAGTGAGGCTTTGAAAGTGGCTGCCTCAGCCTCTCTCCATGTGTTGTAATTTTAGACATGGGTATAGTAGCATACCTAAGAGCTTGCAGCATCAAGCAAGTCCTGGCCTGTGCTAGGGATTAGGAGTGGGTCAGAGGCCACGTTGACTGGTTATCTGTAACTCCTACATGTTTACCAGGGAATCTCAGGGATGCAGATTTTCTGGCCCTGATAAAGCCCCATGGCTCAAATAACCCTCAGGAATCTTAGACTCTGGATTTATAGTTAGTAACAGGGTTATCACTTGCAAAACGTTGGTGCCTTCTTCTAACTCCAAGATAAATAGGCCAGATAATTTCAATAGTTAATCATGTCTTCTAGAAAGATCCTTTTTTTATAGGGAGAGAAACAATGATACAAGGAATTAAGAGATGTCCTTGAATTAAATCACAAGGCTGTGACATAGCAACACATGAGAAGTTTTGACTCAATCAAAACTTCAGAAGTTTTGACTTTGCCAACGAGGTATTACAGTGTCAGAGAGTGCCTGTATAAAATTAATTTGCTCTTGAAAACACTCCAACCACAGGAAAACATGAACTGACTTTGGGTGATACTCAGGATACAGAAGAGTAAAATTTAGATTAACCAGCCCACTCTCTTTCCAGGCGCCATCAATAACTATCCTCCTGCAGAGCTGAGACCCAAGTGTGTTAACATCACCGCCCCTAACCCAAAGAACGTTAGCACAGAAAACACTGCATTGTGAGTTGATAAATTCACAGTAGGTAATAGTACAGCTGGAAACAGCTCTTAAGAAAAGAATTTGAAATGAATGGTGTTTTAGTTTTCAAGATGCAAGGAGTGTGTGTGTGTGTCTGTGTGTGTGTGTGTGTGTGTGTGTGTGTGTACGTACGTGCATATGCGTGTGTGTTTTAAATGCCCTTGCTTTGTGATGACAGTGCACATCTAGTGTTGATAGAAGATCAGCTATGACCCATATTAGAAAGAACCATGTTTCAATTTCTGTTGCTTTTATAAAAACAAGGCCCTTAAAGTACCTTATTAGTAACTCTATAACACCGCTCTAATATTGGGTACTGCCAAAACATAAAACTTACAATATCAAAGGTTAGATGTAACAATTTTAGAGCAGCAGAAAACATGAAAAAGAAAAAGTTACAAAAGCAGCAAAAACTTTTACCATTTAGTAAACAGAAACCATATGACAACTGGCAGGAAAGATTCTTTTAAATTTGATTTTGCAAAGTACAACTCTAAGTACTCAATAAAAATTCAGTAATGAAAATAATATTGATTTGGAGTCCTAAACACTGACACAAATGTTTAATTTCCCTTTGGAATATTAAAAAAAAATCACCTCTCAGTCAAACTTCATCCTCAAACTGCATTTGGATTATTCTAATCACATGCCAAAATTGATTCGTGTCATATTATCTGGCTGTATTTACATTTAATCCTGTAAGGGACTCGGCTAATGTATTTTTCTCTGTCACATCAGCCTTATTCCTGAGGTGTATGAAATAGAGGCAGAAAGCAGTGAGCTGTTTGGTGAATTTGATTCCCAGGAGCAGCACGTCTTTGTATTAGGGAACGATCACAGTAATGGCTCTGAGACTGTGACTGATTTGATCCAGAAGTTATACAAGCTCTTTTCAACCAAGGAACTGATGATGAAAGACAAGGAAGAAGCACATTCAGAAAAAATTACGGCTCCAGCAAATGATAAACAACAAGATAAAAAAGGTAACCTTGAGTACAGTAGAATTGAAGATGCTGAAGTACTTTGTTTGGATTTTTCCCTGGTCAAAGATGAGCAACAAGAACTCACTGAGACAGGTAGAGATGATAGGATAGAGGGGCTTTACCATCTAAGGATACAAGGGGTTCTCAAGATAAGGGGTCAAGGAAGCTAAAACTCCATAAGGCAAAAGAGGGAATCGGTGGTATCTACAAAACCAGAACTAGAAGTAGGTATAAATGTTTGGTGTGGGGTCAGGGAATGGAAACAGGAGAGGGACAAGAGCAAGGACCACGGGTCGCGAGTAAGCAGGAGGAGCCCTGCACCCTTGTGCAAAATGGGGGTGAGAAGGAACTATACAACAAGCCTTCCACATTTGAACACTCAGGGTCTTCTTTCGACCTTAGCAACTAGGGTTTTCCTGGTCTAAGATGTGGGCTCCTAGCTGAGTTCCAGCCCCAGTGGTACCTGGAGAGAGCAAAGTTGCTGTGGTTCTGAGATCTCTGTGGAGGCTGAAGGCAGCTTCTTAGACTGCTTGAGGAAGTGGTTATGGACCTACAGCTAAAGAAAAAATAGGAGATGGAGAACAGGAAACTATAGTAGGCTCGGGGGCAGCTATTCACAATCTTTACCTATACCAAAATTATATTAGAATAAATGTTCCTGGGTGTCTACTAAAGCTGAAAATATGCAGATCCTATGATCCAGCGATTGTACTCCAATGTATATATCCAATATAAAAATATATATTCACCAAAATTCAGGTACTAGAATGTTCACACCAGCACTATTTGTGGTAGCCCCAAAGTGGGAACAAAAATGCCCAACAGTAGATATGATAAATAAATTGTGGTATAGTTATATAATAATAAAACATTGTATATGTATGCAGTATGTATATAAAATACTATATATGTATATTTCAATATATATACTATGTATTATGTATTACACATATAATATATGTTAGATATGGGTATAATTATAGATATGGAACAAAATCAGCAAAATGAAAAATATGAGAGATAAAGATAGAGGAAATATGAAAAATATAGACAGGGGAGAGAAGATAAGATGTAAGAAAAGGTAAATAAAATATAGATATGATAAAGTATCTGGCTCTGGTCAAAGTGAACGAATCCTGCTTTAGCATCAAGATAGAGTAAGCCCCTACTGCCTGTTTCTCCCACTGATTAATTACAACTGAAAACTCTGGACAAAATGCAAAAAGCAACTACTTGAGAACTCTGAAAAGTAAACAAAAATAGATACATTATGAAGGGGCATGAGTTCCCCACTTTCCTTTCTCTTTCATTTCTGGATTGATGCTGAGGGCAGGCCCCAGGCCTGGGGCTGCGTGGTAGGGGTGGAGCACCTGGTGAAAGCTTGGTGGGAACCCCATATTTCTAGGTGGAAGAACTAGAAAAAGGGGCCCCTGTTTATCAAAGGTGGTAGAAGAAATCCCCATTTCTCTTTTCTTTTCTCTCATGGTTTTGCTCTAAAGGCGGCTACAGTTTGGAGCTGAGGGGAAGGCTAGATGTCTAAAATTAAAAAGAAACCCTGTCTTTCTGGTCAGAGGAACTGGGAAGAGAGGCCCTGTTAGTCAGTGTATAGGGATAACCTCAGGGAGAGAATTGGAGAAGGAGATCCTCTAATTCTAATTGTGGGAACTGTATAAGTCCCAGGCTCTCCCTTAAGTTGTACATGGATGAGAAAGTCCCAAAACAGAATAGTGAAGGCTTTGGACACTAAACTGAGTTGGAAACCACTGCCTGCAAAAGATGAGACAGCACATGTTCATTGCCTGCTTTAAAAAAATCAAAATTCTATTAAGACTTAGAGTCTATACAACATAATGTTCAAAATATTCAGGATAAAATCTAAAATTATGCAACAGAGTGAACCAGGAAATGTGAACTAGGAAAAGACAATCAATAGATGCCAGCCTCGAGCTGACTCAGGTGTCACCATCATCAAAGGCGTTAAAGCAGCTATCATCACTGTGCTCCATGACATAAACGTGAACAACCTGAAATGGACAGAAAGATAGGTATTCTCAGCAGTGAATCAAGATAGCAAAAAGAAACCAAAGGAAATTTTAGAATAAAAAAAAAAATGCAATATCTGAAATTTAAAAATTCACTAGATAGGTTCAAGAGCCAAGTGAAGATGGCAAAGAGTTAGTTGACTTAAAGATAGACTAATTATATAATCTGAAGAGAGAAGAGATTTAAAAAAATGAACAGAGCCTCAGAGACTTGTGAAACAACATCAAAAGGTTTAACGTCGGTTGCATTGGCATTCTAGAAGGAAAGTAGAAAGTTAGATTTATTCAGAAAAAAAAAATTCGAAGAAATGATGACCAAAACCTTACCAAATTGGTAAAGCTATAACTGTACAGATTTTAAAGTTTAAAGAAGACCCCACTCAGGCACATCATAAACTGCTTAAAGCAAAAGATAAAAAGGTTGAAGCATCTAGAGAAAAACTACATGTGACAAAAGAAGGGAATGACTATTCAAATGATTGTAGATTTCTCATCAGAAACCATGGAGGCCAGAAGACAGTGGTGCTGGGGTTGTTTATGAGATTCGTATAGGGATATTACTATCTCTATATGAATTATCTAAGTCCCTGTATGAATTATCTAAATCAAATCTCTAATATATTTGACAGTTAAAACTAAAAATCCATTGTGATGAATGATCAGCCTTTATATCACTTGCTTATCTTTTGTTTTCCCAAAGAGAGTAGGCTTTTCTTTTTGTCTCTCATTTTTCTGATATTTTCGCTTTATTCATCTACTTAATGTACAGATTTTCTGTTTGGTCATTATAATGTACATTTGTAAAAAGTTGGGCTTTCTCATTTGTAGATCACTGATTGCTCAAGGGCTGCCCTAGGGAGGGCTGTACAATCTCAGGTACTCATACTGCTCGTGGTTAAAGCTGCTTCAGTGGCTGGACGGCAGCCCTCCAAAGAATAATAGTAGGTGCTGATAGTGAAGGCAAAAGCTTACATGGGGATGTAAGGGACAAGAGAGAAGAGGGTTAGGAGGAGAAGTGAAGGTGTCTAGAAATGAATTCTAAATATAAGATCAGAGGGGTTCTGGGCAGAGTCCTCCTGCTGTCTACTGCACATTCCTTCTAGCTTCAGTTCAATGACACCAGCCACTAAATGTGCTGAGCATGGAATTTCAGATCATGAACATACTAGTGTTTTCCCAGGAAGAAGTATATCTATACTGGTTCTATTCATGTCACTCATTTATACGTATTATCACATCACCTTGAATTGGACTTTTATTTTGACTATTGAAAATGGCAAAAACCATATAGATTTGTTTCATATGTGGCATATAAAGGAATAGACTCCAGAGATAACATTCTAAAGAAACCCAGTGACATTAAGAACAATCGTATTTTTTATGTTTTACAGATGGTGAGGACACAAGATGATCATAGCAGAAAAGAAGATAGACCTCTCCATTGGCATGTGTAATTTCATGTGTTTCTAACCAGAAAGTATATATCATCTATTAAAGGTGGAGGGATAAGTGGCAGAACTTTTTCATGAAACAATTGGCTAATAACATGCTAAATTTGTTCTGTTTCAAATCTGCGGGAAAGACTTTTCCGAGTGAAGACATCAGTGGGCAGAACTGAGAAACTAGGAATGATTTTATTTCTCCTGAGAACTGGGACAACTGACCTTGAAGAGATAACTGAATCTTTTCTTTGACAACTCTGTACAGTTCAGGCATTAATTCTGATGATGTATCTGCCTAAAGAAGACTTTTGTCATCATTTTCATCACATCTGTATCTCAAATTGGACTCGAGTAAAAAGCGGTTAGACTTAGAATATCCTAAAAAATGTCTTCTATTTATTCACGGAATTAGAAACTCGTGTCCAGATCTTCAGTTCTGCTACAACCCTAATGTCGCATCTCTCACAGGTGGTCCCGTGAAACCCACCTGGCAGGTTGCTGCCACCATAGTTAATGCTTGCTCTTTACCAGGGTCTTTGCAAAAGAATGGAATTTTTGAGAAAAAAATGAGACCAGGCTAATATGATAAACTACTATTTTGTGCTCTGATTATTTGTTTTACATTTCAGCATGCTTTGCTTTGTGTGTACTTAATTTTGCTGCAACAAAATAAAACAAAACATTATGGAAAAGCATAAATACTCTATATGACCAGAGCTATTGTTCTTGGAAATTATAATGTAGCAAGAGACAAGTTCAAAAATGAAAACAAATCTGACCTGGAATCTTGTTCTCATTTTATTCTTCTTCTTTTTCTTTAAATTTTATTTTTTTTAAATTAAATTTGTTGGGGTGACATTGGTTAGTAAAATTATATAGATTTCAAGTGTACAATTCAATATGTCATATGTATGTTGCATTGTGAACTCACCACCCAACGTTAAATTTTCTTCACTTTTATTTAACTAGTCTAACTCAGACCCATTGGAACACCAGTACAGGATTTAACATATTTGGAAAATATACATAAATGTAAAATAAGCCAATAGTGAATTCATTTTAAAAATCATTCAATCTGGTTAAGGCAACAAGTAATTACCAAGTCAATGAGTATGCACTATATATTTTCAAAGCAACTATGTTAGTAAGATAATACTATAGGCAATTTTGTACTTTTTTAATGTTTTTTTCCCCTTAACTTTACTCTTGTTTGTATTATTTTAAAATAATCTAATCAATTAATTCTAGGCTGTCAAAAATTTTAAAGTAGCCATTTATTGCTCTCTGAGAAGTTCTAAAGCAAATGCTACTCATTTAATAAATTACAGTTTTATTTTTCCCCAAAGATCCTGGTGTTGTGTTTGTGTGTGTGTAAATGTGTGCATAAAGAATACATCAGAACTGCAAATCTGAAAGTAACATGGGTTATCAAGAATGTGAAGCTAGAGGAGCTCACACTCTGCTCATTGGGGTATAAATTGTTCTGCCCTTGAATAGCATTTTAGCAATATCCGGTTAGGTTGATGGTTCACATATTCTGCAACCCAGCAATCCCACTGTAGATCTATATGCCTATAGAAGCACTCACACATGTACATAAGGAACCAAATGTAAACACATTCTCCACAGCATTGTGTATTTTAGTGAAAACTTGAAACCAACTAAAATGTCCTAAATACAGTATATCTATACAATGAAATATGATACAGCAGTTAAATTGATAAATGAGAGCTGTCTCTATAAACATGGACAAATCTCAAAGATAACACTGAATTAAAAAGAATTGCAGAAGGATACATTATGATTGCACTTAAACGACATTTTAAAACCTGAGAAGCAGTATCATATATTGTTTATGAATACCCACAACTGTAGTAAAACCATATATGGAGATGATAAACATCAAATTCAAAACAGTAGGGAGGGGTAAAGCAGCGGTCTGATAATGTTTTATCTCATGATAGATGATGAAAAATAGGTATTTCTTATTTTTGATTTAAAATTTTTATACATTTTAGATGTCTGACATATTTCATAATTAAAAAAGAGTAAACCAAGTCATGAAATAAATACAAAATTCAAGTAAATCCTTATGCTACATCTAGAACCATGTTGAGAATTGTGAGGAATTAAAAAATATTTATATAAGTATCTTTGCTCTTGAGGAGTTTGCATTGTCAAGTTTACTGTTTTTTCAAAGCTTTTTTTTGCATGTCCTCAAATTGCACCTAGAGTTAGGTGACATTCTAGAACAATGGTTCTCCTGGAACACCAAGCACCAGGGAAACTTATCCCCTTTAGCGTTAGACACATAATTTTAATCAATGTATAAAATTAGTTGATGTTACCTACCACTGAGTGTACATTCACTTTTGATGTGAATTTTATGTCTCAGTGGTCACTTGAGATTGTATAGCAGTTCGAGCACATAACGGGTAAGGAGGGTGATATTAAGAGATACTGTTTCACTGGAGGAACAATTACACTGTAAATATAGGGAACTTTTAATACATGTATCTTGGACATTCAAGCCAAAAATACGATGCTTGATTGTGTGCCGTGGGCACAAAAATGTTAAGGGTGACCATAGGATGATAAAAATACTGTGCATGAATTCAGAATAAGGCTGTTAAGTAGAGTCAGTAATTGCTTTGGAAACTAAAGAAAGAAAAGAAAATCACTTGGAATTTAAATGACTGGAGAAGTCTTCGAGGAATAAATGGGACTCACACCAGGTCCTTACTTACAGATCATTAATGCTCTCCTTTCGGTTCCTCCGAGATTACAGTACAAAATCTGACCTTTGTTCATTTTACCAGCCTAAACTCTTCCCACGGCAAGGAACTTCAAGAAGTTCCTACCCTACCTCCAATTCATCCTTCTGAGCTGGCTCTCATCTGCTTGGAAACCCCATTCATAAACTTCCCAAAGTGACCCCAAGAGGTACCGAAGTGAGCATCCCTATTTGTTCATCACTGTACCCCCAGTGCCCAGGATGGTTCCTGGCACTTACAAGGCACCCAATAAAGATTTGATGAATGAAGAAACAGACTCATCGTGAAAGATAAATATAGTTTCATTTGATGGAGAGGAGAGAAACTAGCATGAGCAATGACAAGGAAACAAAAGCCAGCAAAACTCGTGTGTGTATTTCTGCACTGATGTGAGTGGGGAACTCGGGAGTGTATGAGCAGGGTTTGTAAGTGGCCAGTGTAACTGGATTGGAAATCTGGGGATTAGTGGAAGCTGAGGCCATGGCAAGTGTGGTGAGTTGCTGAAAAACCCCTTTTGTAAAGCTTAGAAAAAACAGTAAACTTAAAAAGAAATCTTGAACCATTTTAAAATAGCCAATCTTTTTGAATATGGAGTGATCTGCAGGCAAAATCACATGTCCTCAAAAGGAGCCGTGGAATAGGCACTAATCATACATTTTTCCCAGGGGTTCTGGGCTGAATGATCCATAGCTGAGGTGCTGCAGTCTCATGTGACATGGGCAATGCACCGCAAAACAGCTGGTCAGAATTACAGATGACTAAGAATCCTGTGATATCTCTGGAACACTTCATCTAACACTTTATTTATTTATTTATCCATTTATCCATTTATTTATTTATTTATTTGTTTGTTTATTTATTTATTTATTTATTTATTATAATATGTCATAAAAAATTGCATTGTGTGTTTACCACTCATAGTTAGATTTCCTTCTGTCGCCATATATTTGACCTCTTTTACCCCATCTACCTTCCCCCACCCCACTATCCATGTTCGAAAATATTTGACCTCTTTTACCCCATCTACCTCCCCCCACCCCACTGTCCATGTTTGAGTCTCTATTGCTTTTAGGTTTATATCCCACATATAAGTGATGTCATGTGATTTTCATCTTTTTCTGCCTGGCTTATTTTGTTTAGCATGATTATCTCAAGATGCATCCATAATCCCTAAATCTTTTATCTGAGTATGAGCAGTGGGGTTGAGAATTTAAATAGTCATAGTTGGTAATATGTGCAGTCCCTAGTGGACACCCTAAATTGGAACCTTTCTGTCTCTGACCCAGAACTCTTACATATTCCTTTGACTAAACTTCTTCTCTAGCTCCCCACCTCCACCTTGACAGCCCCAGTGCCTCTCACCTTAGAGTTAGCTAGGAAATTAATAGGTGCTCGATAATTATTTTTCTTTGTGCAGAATGAATAAGGCCTATCATGCTGAGCCTGGCTACTATCCTGTTGGCCTCCCTCTCCCAAACTGAATTTGGATTCTGAGTTGAGAAAAAGTCTGTAACAAGTAGAAGTTGTCCTCTATACAAGTTCTCACCTCCTGTGATGAGGACAACAGCTGTGTGGAGGTCTGGCTCACCAGATGGCTGTTTGCAAATCTCTTACAAAAGAATATATTAGACTCCAAGATGATGGATATTATGAGAATAGTCTAATAAGCAGCATGAATCATCTTTTATCCTCTCAGTTACTAGCACTTCTGCAAAGTAAATAAGTTTTTTCTAGTATAATAAAATTGATCTGTACGTGCCCAGTATTGCATGGCTGTGGAGGGTCACAAGCCTAGCTACCTAAAAGGTAGCTGATGGCTCATGCACCAGCAATATCACAATCACCTGGGAGCTGGCCTAGAATTCACTCGCTTGAAGCTCTACAGATGAGTAGGTGCATTTTATAGATTTTTAAGTTTAGCTTGGCATCATATATTGAGCATCTACTGTGTAGCACACATTATGCCAGAGAAGGGAATATAGAGATAAGTAAAAGGAGACATATGCCTGGAGCTTATGGTCCAGCTGGGAAGACTGACCCAGAAATGAAAATGACTGGATTCAATTTAGCCAGGTGAAAATTGGGTGAGTAATTTAGCAGAAAATATTGTCTCTCTTGGCTCTTTGTTCTTAAAATGGGTTTTTGTTTAAACCATAAACTCCACTGTATTCATGGAGAAGGGGAAATGACTATAT